CCATTTTCTTCTTGCTTGTGATGATGTACTTCCATTAAAAGTCTACAGTATTTTTGGGCCTCCCCAGTGGCGCAGCGGTTGAGCGCTGGGTTGCGAAGCTGCCCGTGGCCTCTGCGGCGCCGGTTTGATCCCCAGCTGCTTCCCGCAGACCTCTCCTGCCGCCCGCTGCTCCCCTCAGCAGTGTACCTCGGTCCTCCTGCCTGCTCTGCTCCCCGCTCTGCCTCTGGTGAATTCTCTCACCCTCCCGCGCTTCTGACTGTACCCAGTGCATGTATAAACAAACAAACAAATAAAGAAAGAAACATGCCTCTATAAAAAAAAAAAATCTACAGTTTTTGCTCCCATATTCTTTTCCTTTTAATCTATTTAATTTCTCCCCCCTTCTCCTCATCCTCTGCCTCTTTCAAGCATTATGTTAGTTTGGATTGCTCTGCAAAATACATCAAGCACACACAGATATGGTAGCCAAAAACTGTAGATAAATGTGGGCCCAGATCTGACCTTTTTACCTTCCTTGCCTGGAACATTAGCTAAGCTGAATAAATTATATTAAGATGCAAATTAAATCTTCTGCCTTTGCAGAAAAATTGTGGGAGGCAATAATTATAGCAATGTGAGTAGCTGCAGGTCTAGAAGACAGAAAAAAATATTAGAAATTCTCCATGGTAAAAAGAGGCTTCTCTTAGGGTAACAAAGATTACAAATGCAAGCATCACCTGCTTTGAGAAATCAAAATCTAAACCAGAAAAGTAGTAAAAACAATAACTGATGTTTATTGCACAGAAAAAGGAGGGCTAACTGAATTGCCAGAAGAATCTTTGTATTTCAGAAGGGTGTGCTGCAAATTTTCCAAGTGAATGAAAACATTGGGCAAGAATTTAGTGTCAATAAGCCTAAAATACAGGTGTTAGAAGCCACTCCCTTTTCCTGGCAGGCCAAGACCTTCTGCAACTATAAGGGACATTAGCAGGAAATTAGAGTTTGATATACAGATAGAAAGTTTTCAAGAACCATAAATGGCCCAGCAGGGGTATACTGGTAAAGGATATTTCCCAGCAACTGATGATAGTTGTTTAGTAAGTTAAGGCAATTTAGCTGGTTAGAATTGTTCCAGAAAAGAATCCCTTTTAATGGGAGAGGAATTAATTGTTGATGTGGATGAGTCATAACTATAGCAAGCTTTTAAATAAAATTTTACACATCCTTTAAAGGAGGTTGGAGGCTGTTCTTGAGCATGTCTCACCTAATGGAGATGAGGCTATGGGTAATGCATTATGTAACCCATATTTATTAACTGTAGGACACAGTTAATAATAACTACTTTGTAGGTATTAACCACAACCTTAGAAAGCGTGTACTTTTACAACTTTTAAAGTGAGAAACTGAAGCCTAAAGAACTGTAAGTAACTTGTTGGGACCTCACAGGTAGTACATGTCAGAGCCAGGGGTGCATACTGGCACTCTTTTCCATCTTGCTGTCCAGTTGCAGAAAAGCAAGGTCTCATCTCAGCCCTTTACTCATTTAGTGACCTTAGGCAATACCCTCAATTCTCCAAACTTCACCTTCCTCCTCTGGGGATCCTAAGACTGCCAGTACCAATCCTACAGGCTGTGGGGAGGGAGCAACACCTCCAGTGAGTAGGTGGAGCTCTCTACAAACTGTAACACCAACCTGAAATCTTCTTTTTCTTTTTTTTTTTTTTAAATTTTTCATTTGTTCATGCTTTATTATCTCTTTTCTTTTTTTTAAAAGATTTATTTATGCATACAAGTGCTGGGGTACAGGCCAGAGGTGTGGGGGGTGAGAGGAATCACCAGAGACAGAGTGGGGAACAGAGCAGGCAGACTGACTGAGATACACGGCTGAGGGGAGTAGTGGGAGAGACAGGAGAGGTCTGCCACGCCATGTGGGCTGCTCCCTGGCTGGCTGGGAATCGAACTTATGCTGCAGAGGCTGCGGATTGCTTCACAGTGCAGTGCTTTACCCCTTGCACCACCCGGGAGGCCCCTTATGCTTTATTTCCTTTCTTTTTATATTTATTTATTTATTTGTTTGTTTGTTTGTTTATTTATTTTTTTTTACAGCTTCCACTTTTTTTTAATTTAAATTTCATTTTTATATTCCCCATACAATTACAACCCCCTTATTTTGACCCCAATCCCTTCTTTCCCCGCACCCTCACCACTCCATAGAGTGTCTCTGGTTCATAGTTGTTTGTTGATTTTGATATTTTCTTTCTTATAATTATTCTTTTTCCTGGTCCCTTATTTAAGTTTTCTAGATTCCTGCTATGAGTGAGACCATCCGGTATTTTTCTTTTTCTTTTTGGCTTATTTCGCTGAGCATGATCCCTTCCAGCTCCATCCATGTTGCTGCAAATTGCATGTGTTTATCTTTTTTGAATGCTGAGTAATATTCCATGGTGTATATGTACCACATCTTCTTGATCCAGTCATCTGTTTTTGGGCATTTGGCCAAAATCTTAGCAGGAGTATCCATAGTGTTCTCAGACTGCACTGAAAAACCAATAGCTCTGATTTGTGGGTTAGCTTTATACAATCATTTTTTACCATGTTAGTATTTGTACTCATCAATACCAATAAACGATAAGGAAATACCCACAAAAAGGAAATTATCCCACATGCAGCTGTGATGTCACTTTACTTAAAGTAATTATATCGGGCCTCCCCAGTGGCGCAGCGGTTGAGCGCTGGGTTGCGAAGCTGCCCACAGCCTCTGCAGTGCCGGTTCAATCCCCAGCTGCCAGGCAAGGGTCCCACATGGAGCGCAGACCTCTCCTGCCACCCGCTGCTCCCCTCAGCAGTGTATTTCGTCAGTCTGCCTGTCCTGCTCTCCACTCTGGCTGTGGTGAATTCTCTCACCCTCCCGTGCTTCTGACTGTACCCAGTGCTTGTATAAATAAAATAAATCTTTTTAATAAATAAATAAAATAATTATATCTGATGGTGCAAGGGGTTAAGTCACAGCACTATGAAGGTGTCCGCAGCCACCGCAGCACAAGTACTTCGATCCCTGGCCAGGGAGATAACCCACATGGCACAGCAGACCTCCCCTGTCTCGCCTGCTGCTCCCCTCAGCAGTGTATTTCAGTCAGTCTGCCTGTCCTGTTCCCCACTCTGTCTCTGGTGAATCCTCTCACCCTCCCCATGCCTCTGGCCCATACCCCAGTTCTTGTATTCATAAATAAATAAATCTTTAAAAAATAAATATATCTATAAATATATAGAGATAAGTAAATATATAGATAGATATAGATAGATTTATTTATTAAAGATTTATTATTTTAAAGATCTAGATAGATAGATATCTCCTAATGAAGCATGGTGACCTGAGCTAAGCAACCTGGAGAACTTGAGTAACAACCTTTTGCTTAGTTCCCGCTGTACCAGATGCCACTGCCAATGTTAATGATGAAGCAAGATGGACCTGAAAAATCCTGTGACCGCTGACCCTTTACTCACTTCTTGGTATGTAGCCACGTCATATCTGAGCATGTACAGCTGCCGATGCAAACCCACCCAGAACCTTGTAGAAACTAAAAGTGTGTATATAAGCCCCTGACTTCCTACAAACAGGGCTCAGCCTTTGGATGCATATCCGCTGGGCCAGTACCAGTACAATAAACCTGCTTCTTGTTAGCCCTGATGTCCAAGTTACCTTTGTGCCATATAAAGTAACTCTCCTTCCTCTAGCATCCCTACCCCCCCAACCCCCCCCCCCACACACACACACTCACCTACCAGACCTAAACAGCTGTTATTCAACCAATTGGGCTGAAAGAACGCCCACCACCCTGTTATAAAGCTTGGTCCACTAGAGCTGCCTTTTTTTCCGTGATGAAATTATTTTTACCTTTTAAAATAGTTACATAGAGACTATTGCTCTCCAGATAGCACTGTGTATTGAACTTCAATTCTGACCGCACCCTTTCAAAACTGCCACACCTCTGGACTTGAACCCCGTGTGACAGCTGGGAAGGGTAAGGAGGGGGAAAGGAAGGGAGGAAGAGAGAATATGCATCTCCAGACTTGTCCTCCAGAGGAAAGAACACCTTCCAGGGGGAAGCTGGTGCTGATTTAAATATCGAAGACAACAGGAAAACATCCACAGCGACTAAACTGCAGCCCAGGGGAATAATGGGGTCGTCGGGAAGACGGCCTTATAGAAATAGCAGCCACACCCCAGCCCTCGCCTTTCACCTCATCTCTCTACTGTCGTCACCCACATTTGACCTAAATTTCCTCTTAGGTTTCTGATTTACATGTGAATGATTTCCTCCCCACGGCTCCGAGTTTACCCAGCCGCCGCCGGGTACTCGGTGTGCCGAGTGGGCTGCAGGCGACAGATTGCGCGCGGGCTTGCGACGTTGCTTCCCGATGCGGTTTCCAATTTACAGTCTGAAGGTAAAAAGTGCACTAATTAAATCCATATTAGGAGCAGCAGCAGGGGCGGGATGCAGAGCCGGGGAGGCGGCCGCGGGGCTGCCTGTTGCCCAGCAACAACCCCAGCCCGAAGCCTGCGCTCCGCAGAGCCCAGGGGTTGGGGGTTGGGGGTTGGGGGGGCTGGGGGGTTTGGGGGATGGAGGAGCAAAAAGCGACGCAGACAGCTTGAGATAAGGGCAGAAACCCCAACAGAGACCCACGTCGCCCTCTTTTCCACGGAGGAGCTGTAAGGTTCTTTGTGATTCTGGTACTGATACTAGAGAACACCACCCCCGGCTTCCCTCCTGCTCATTAACCAGCAACTTTCCAACGAAGGCCTAGTGGCAAAGGAGAACGAGTCTGCCTTTCCATGGCTGGTTGACCAGAGTGTCTTTCCTAGAGAAGCAAGAGGCTGCAGGCCCAGCATGGACTTAGCTCGGCAGGACGAGGCGAAGTCTGCAGGGCTGGGCCGCAGGGACCGCGGCGGGCGGCAGCGTGGGAAGCGGCTTCATCACAAGGAGAACAGCGCCCTCTGCTGGCAGTGCCACGCAGGCTGGCACTCTCTGGGCTTCTGGTCTCCCAATAAAGAACTGTGGTGCCAATAAAGAATTCCTATGGCGAGTTCATTCTTGCTCTCCGAAGGAATATGGCGTGGAAGGAAAAGAAACTGAGACTAGAAGAACGGAGGCTAGATGGAAGGACAAACAGAGGAGGTGTGGCCCTACCTTAAGGGTCCCCTTTATCTGGAAGGGACAAGAACAGAAGATTCCTATTTCTCCATGTAAAAACCCAGAACGGAATCAAAGTTCAATTTAATGGGACATTGCCAGTCACTATTTCTCATGCTCCATCTGGCTGGAACATCTTTGTCTGAGATTCACAATTTCCACTGGCCTAATGGTCAATGTGTTTCTAGGACTATCACAATAGGGGAATGTGATGGAGACATACAGGGCAGGAGGCATAAATAAGTAAATTCTATCCAGAATGTGTCTCCAATCCAGCTTCTACTCCACTGAGGACCTTAAAGAGGGGGCCCCACCCACAGTGTTCAAAGAAGCGAAGCATAATGTTAGAACCGCAATGCCTCAGCAGGAACTCCATATGTTTTTAATAAAAAGGCACAATGTGAGCATTGTTCTGTGCTCAATAGCACAACTGTTATAACTAATGCTTCTGGTATGAATATGACCATTTAAAATTCCCAACCAGTTGCACTTAGTGACAATATGCATCAGAAAACAAGCCCAGCAGCAGGGATTTCTCACTTTGAGGCCAGTTGGTTTTAAACACACACACACACATGCTTTTTTTGTGTGCCCAACTTCCAGAAATACACTAGAGTGTTTGATGTACAATGTTCTTGTCCCTGACATTTGCAGCTACAAATAATAAAGTAGATTTTCACATGTATATTTGAGAACATTGACTCAGTGTACAGAGGACTGATGCACAAATAAAGGGGAGAGTGTAACCTGTTTCAGAATAACATACCAGCCCACCCCCAGATCATCTCACTAACACATAAGCAGGGCTGCCTCTCCAGGTCTTCAGTCTCCACATGGAAGTCTCTGCATCCCTCAGGACTCACCTTCAGCTTCTACCTTCAATTCCCACTCTCCCCCCCCACCTCAAGTCTGGCTGAGTCAGTGGAGTTTCCAAAGGAGAACTGAGGAAACTCAGTTTTCATAACAATTGGAAGACAAGAGGGCCTCCCTGGTAGCACAAGGGGTTAAGCACAGCACTGTAAAGCTATCTGCAGCTTCTGCAGCAGGAGTTTGATCCCTGGCTGCCCAGGGAGATACCCACATGTCACAGCAGACCTCTCCTGTCTCCCTCGCTGCTCCTCTTAGCAGTGTATTTCAGTCAGTCTGCTTGTTCTGTTCCCCACTCTGTCTCTGGTGAGTTCTCTCACCCCCCACACCTCTGGCCTGTACCCCAGGTCTTGTGTGCATAAATAAATCTTAAAAAAAATAACAATCGGAAGACAAGAAAGTTCTGAATCTTGGAGTGAATGCCCCCAAATATCCAAATGAACTGGACATTTATCAGGGTTTTTTTTTTTTAAAGATTTATTTTATTTTTATGCATACAAGAGCTGGGGTACAGACCAGAGTTGTGGGGGTCCGGGTGTGGTGGTGAGAGGATTCACCAGAGACAGAGTGGGGAACAGAACAGGCAGACTGACTGAAGTACACTGCTGAGGGGAGCAGCGGGTGAGCCAGGAGAGGTCTGCTGCGCCATGTGGGTATCTCCCTGGCTGAGGATCAAACTCGTGCTGCAGTGGCTGTGGTCAGCTTCATGGGTTGCTTCTTAACCCCTTGTTAACAAAAGCATTGGAAACCATTTCCAATTTGGGGTTTTGTAAGGGAAGCAGTAACCCCAGATCCATTACTGAAGTTGGAAAATCAGCAAAGGAGAGCTGCTCAGCCAGGCAGGCCTAGGCTCTGTGGTAGTGATGTAGTCACCGGAAGGAATTAGGGAATACTGGTAGCAGTGGAGTTGAAGGTCTAGCATCCACCTGGTCCATTCTTTTTTCAAGTCTTCCAGTATTCCTAGCAATTCCCAGCCCTGACTGAAGTCCTCCCACAAATCCCACTTCTGCTCTAGTAAATAGGTAAACAAGATCCCTCCTCCAAGCTATGCTACAGGTTATGCACAGACCACGCAAATCAATTTTTATTGATAAAAAGCTGTTATGCATCTTAAATTGAAGTGCTCCTTGACTTATCTCCTCTCCTTTCAACAAACCCTGATACATCACACAAAAAGGTTTGTGCTTTTTAAATCCATCAACTCATTATCAAATAATCGACAAGATTGGGGTAAGACCACATGAGCAGACTCGTAAGAAGTATCCTGGAAAAGCCGGGCCCACGTCTTCTCCATCCCCAGAAGGAAGCACAGACTAAACCAGTGTCACCCCAGTTCCGTGAGTGAGAAGCACAGACAGTGCGCCCCACCTCCCCTGCCCCTAGTTGAGAGGAGAAGGGAAGGGCACTTTATGGTGAGGTCGGATCCCTGGGACCCAGGCTGGTGGGCGAGGCGAGGGAGGTGAGGGTCGTTGACCAAGGCCGCTCTTGACAGCGTCCAGTTGGTCCTGAAGGTGCCGGACACGCTCGTCCAGGCAGCGCTGCTGGGCCAGGACGGCGGCCTTTCCGGCCAGCAGGGCGCAGTAGGCGCGCAGCTCCTGGGCGGACAGCGTCCGCGCCAGCACCTCGCGCAGGGCCCGCTCGCGCCGCGCCACGTGCTCCTTTAGCTCCTTGGCGTCCTCCTGCTGCCGCTGCAGGAGCCGGAGTCGCTGCAGCAGGGAGGCCTGGAGCCGGAGGGAGAGGGGGCCGTGAGCGGGGCGAGGGTGCCGCCGCCCCCGGGATGGCTCAGGCCAGAAACCAGAGGCCCCACACCCGGCGGCCCGCGCTCTTTTTCTGCCCCTCTTACCTGCTCGTCAGGGTCGCTGTCTGCACCGGCTCGGGTCAGCGCGCCGCATACGCGGGCCAGGCGACTCCCCAGCAGCAGCAGGAGCCCAAGCACGCGCTCTAGGTCGGCCATGAAGCGACTGAACCGCTCCAGCTCGCGGGGCGCGCAGGCCTGACCTACCGCGGCCTCCAGAGCTGTCCCGCGCCTGGCCCACGCTCGCGCCACCTCTTGCAGCCGCTCCCGCTCTCCCTGAAGGTCCTGCAGCATCCTCTGGAGGAGATCGGCCAGCTCCACCTACAGGCAGGGCGTGGGTACTTCAGCCTCGGGCCCCTGACCTCCCAACCCAAACTTTGGACTCACCAAACCTCCATCAGCCCCTCCACACTCACTTTCTTGGTTTGAATGCTGTTATTCGGCTCAGAAAGAGCGTGGCCACGTGGCTGGTCAGGCACAGGATGGGTGCTAAGACTTTCAGGTTTTGACTCCTGAGAAGTTGGCAGGAGCTGGGTAGAGCTAAATAGGTAGGACCTGGGGACAAAGCCAGAACTTTCTAGATTTTCCAGACTCGGAATGCTTAGAATCTCCCAAGTCCCTGGTGCCCTTCACTCACCCTGGTTCAGAAGTGCCAGCAGCATTAGTTCCAGCCTCCCCACAGACTGACCTCATGGCAGCCCAGACTTCAGCTATAGGAATCAGCCCATCTAGCAGGGCCACAGGTGGCTCTGGGCTGGGGTAGGAGGTTAGAGTGTCACTCAGAGAGGGGTCCAGTCTGGCCAGCTCCTGAACCAACTCTTCTAGGCGGGAACTGGGCCAACTTGGCCTGGAACCAAGCTGGTCAATGCCCCAGGCCAGGGCAGTGTGGTCAGGTGGTCCTGTTGTATCACAGCCTGGAGGTCCCAGGGTATCCACTGGGAGAAATTTGGGGGGTTCACTCCCTGAAGCTGCAGGGGGCTCAGTAGTCAGTAGTCCACTGGAGTCAATGGTTGGGAGGTCACCATTTGCAGTCCCAGAGGGGCTATAGCATGTTGGTTTGGAGACATCCACAGAACCAGTTAACTCTTGCCAGCCGTCACCTGCCCCTGAAGTCTCTGGGCATTTATGGAAGGAGTTCTCTAGGGGGGTTGTAGCCTGGTCAGCCCTTTGACCCAAGCCTGCTCCATACTCCTGGGGAGAGGCATGGACACTGGAGGTGGAAAAGAAACAGAATCAGATGGCTGAAGATAAGTGGAGACGTCTAAGAATTACCTGCCACCACCCACTGCTTGGGATCCCAGGAGAGTTTCCTTCTAGCATTTTGCAGATATGTGTGGAATCTGCTTGCAATCAGGCGGGAATTCACCTGGTTGGGAGCCCCAGGGGGACATGGGAGTCTGCAGATGATCTCACTCTGACCAGCGGGGCTTCTTCCAGGAAAACATCATCATCAGGAAGAGAGGGGAGCCGGGCAGACACAACACAAGTCTCTGAGACCCTCTTCTCATAGTCAGTGGAGCTGTTGTGGGGGCCCTTTGCAGGACACACCACTGCAACCTCCTTCTGAGTGGGAAACCTGGAGGCAGAGACACTGATCACAGCGACAGGATAGAAGCTCTTGGAGGTGCACCAGAGAAATAGAGGGTTGTTGGGGGAGCCCAGAGTGCAGTTTGCAAAGGACAGAGTCAGAAAGCTGAGACTAAGGATAGGTGAGAGACAGTCTCCTTTTTAGAGCAAGAACAATAAAAGCTGCCCCCCCCCTCCCCAACTTCAGTCTCCAGAGTGACCCAGGTCTCTTACCTAGATAGTCTGGTCTGAAACAATGGTCTCGAGGATTCTGCTCCTTGGGGAACAGCCTAGAAGGCACAATTGGATAAAATGTGGCTTAAGGTTTCGATTTTGCAGATGTCCTCCACCCTAAGCCTGCAGTCTCTACCTTCCATACCTGGGATATGGGCATGGCCCCTCCTCGATCTCCCCAGAAACCCAAGATTTCCCCTGAAGCGCTCCTACTCCGAGTGGTAGGCCTGTAGGTAACACCGAGCTTCAAGGACCCGGGTTCTGGGTCCTCCGTGCCACGGGGCTGGCTCTCAGGCAGCCGTCTGATCTCTGCCAGGGTCCGGTGCTGCAACTCCTGGGGCTCAAGCCTAGGGAGGCCAGGGCTGGAGCACAACTCAGCCGAGCGTTCCCCTGACAACCCACTGGCCCGCCCCACGCGATCCAACTTCCCTGGCTCGGAGAAGCACCATTTTCGCTGCTGGTTGGCGAGGTGGCCCTGGTCGCTGGTCCCTGGAGCTGGAGCCCCAGGGTGCGCGGGCTCCACTTCGCAGCCCGGGTGGCTGAGTGAGGCGGAGCGCGGATGCGCTATGGGGGGCCTCGCGGTCGCCCCCGGCCGCAGGCGGGCGGGCAGGCTCATGCGGAGCTCCTTGCGCTGGAAGGACGTCTCCCGCAGCACTCGCCTCTGCGCGCCCTGCAGCCGCTGGCGGTAGGCAGCCCTCGAGGCCGGCGGGCTGGGCGGCTCAGCGGCCCTCGCCGCGGCCTCCGCCTCGGCTGCCAGCGCGTACAGCAGCGGGGTGGCCTGCCTGCTGAGCGGCCCCGGGGTCCCCTGAACCTGTGGGAGACGCGGTTCAGTGCATGCAGCGGCCGCAGGCCGGGGCTGTGGGGATGTGCGCAGGGCCGCGGCGGGCGCGGCGGGCGCGGCGGGCGCGGCGGGCGCGGTGGGCGCGGCGGGCGCGGGGCCACCCCACACCACGCGCACATAGTCCCAGTCTAGGTAAGGAAGGAGGACGGTCTCAGGAGACAACGTGCGCGGCTCGGGACCGCCTGAGGCCGCGGAGAAGGAGCTGTAGGCCGAGTCGGCGCGGTTGGACAGACGCCGCAGGTCCAGGCTGCGAGTGGATGAGGCTGGGGAGGCGCTGTGGCTCCCAGGACCTAGGGCCTCCATGCCTTGTGGATGAGAACCGAAGCAGACTAACCCGGGGCCTGGAAGAACACAGGTGAGGTGGTGGGTGAGGAGCTCAGCTTATGGGTTAGAATAGCCTGCTGGCTGCTCCAAAAGAGAGCCGGTGCTTACACATACCCTCCCTTGTCACATGGTCCTTAGTGCCCCTTCCCCACACCCCAGGGATAGCAGCCTTGACAGCCGCTGTGAAGGTTGGGGGACTCAGTTAAGGGGATATTGACTCCTAGCGCGGGCCCTGCCAGGGTTCTCCTGGCCTGAAGGCCCAGCCTCTACCTTGTACCCCCTGAGAATGTACCCATGCTGAGAATGTACCCATGCTGAGAATGTACCCATGTTCTTGCTCTCCCTCACCCTGTCCCACCCAGGCTGCTTCCTGGAAGCTTTGTTAGCGTCTCTCTGTGATCTTTCTCCCATAAACAATGGTCCAGGAGGCTATGAGATCATAGAGGGCCAGGAAAGGAGGAGGGAAGACCCAGGTTAGGGGGCAGGGGCAGCATCACAACCTTCTTCTCTTCCTCTGTGCCAGTTATGTTCCAGGTGCAATATGTAAATATTTATCTTGAGCCTCACAACTGCTATCTGCATTTTATAGATGAGGTTCTGAGGAGAAAATGATTTGCCCAGGGGCACACAACTGGCGAGAGGCAGCACTGCCTGGAATCTGGGATTGCCTCCAAGCCTACTGCAGCCAGAATCAATTTCCTACAAGCAAATCCTGCTGAAAACCAATTTACCCCCTGCCTCCCAGCCGCCTGAAGCCCCGGACAAAGTCCAAACCCCCCTACTGTGGGCAACAGCAGTCCCCAACTTCCCTCGAACTATTGGTAGATTCCAGAGTAATATGGTCCCTGCTTCAGAGACTCTGTCTTCTGAGGGTGACAGGCTCACCCTCCTCTTTGTCCTGGTACTTTTGCCCCTCCTCCAGGGCTCCCATGGGGTCCACCTTTTGGGATCCTCACAGTATCCTGAGCATCTCCGGTCATAACACTCGTCACCCTACATTACAATTGCTGGCTTGCTTTCGATTTCCTTTTCCCAGTCCCATCCCCGAGCTTCCTGAGGACAGGACAGACACTCATCTCTGCACCCTCAGTGCCTTGCGTGTAGTCCTGAAGAAGTACTTGTTGGATGGCAAGGGAAAGAATGGACTTGCAGGGAGTAGATGGGGTGACCGTTTTGATGGGGAAGAAAGGGGGCCCCTTTGATTTCCCCCATACCCCTCCCCTGCCTACTACTCTTCTGGGTAAGGGGGCAGCATGGATGAGGCAGTTGCCCCCACAGACAGACCAGGTTACTCATACATTATCCGAAACAACTTGGAGCAGCACTGGCCGGAAATCAGTATCTCCCTAGTGCCAGAAGGGGGACTAAGGGGAGGAGTTGGGTGGGAGTACCAGGGTCAGGGGTGAGAGCAGCATGGATCCTCATGCTCCAAAGGGTTGTGGGGACTTTGGGAGGCCGGGGCTTACCCCTGAGCTGCTTGGTGGGGAATACTGAGGAGAATGGCCAACAGGTGGGGTGGAGACTGAAAAGTAGGCTCATCTAAGCCTCCTAGACACTATTTGGAGCTCAGGGCCACCCTCGTGAGGTCACCTGAGGCTCAGGATGCTGCAGATTCCTGGTCAAGACAGTAGGGAGGTTAATGGTAGAAGGATAGGGTGTTTCTTGAGAGAGAGGCAGTACCTGCAACGTTCCCCAGAAGGGCTCTCAGAAGACCTGGGATCAGAACACCGCTAAGCCCAGCCCTGCAGGTGAGTCCTCACCCTCAGGCTTAGGGCCTTTTCACTCTGGACTTAAGGAAAACTAGAAGCTACTCTAAGTAGCAGCCCCTGGGAGGACAGTGGCCTCCTCTAGGAAACCCTCTCAGGCTACCCAGACACCACCCCTCTCTCTTAGTGTCTTCTGAGCTGGGTCTGAGAGCACTGTTTACCTTGGCTTATGTTGGCTTGCTGCATCAACAGGCACAGGTGACTGTTCAAATACACAGATGTTTCCAAAGAAAGGCCTTGGAAAATATCTTATTTGTGACTTACTATGTTGACAAAGGATTGTGTATTCACTAAATGTAAACAGCTTGTGTGGAGAATAAAAATGTGTGTACATATGTTTTCTAGTTGGCCCTAATTTGTCTAGAGGAAGCCTTTGCAGCCACGACCCCAGTAGGTTGAAACCCACACAGGATGCTGACAGTGTCCTTTCCAAAACCGACTGGGTTAGGCTCCAACTCCTTGAGTGTTTGTTTGGGGAGTCTCAGCACAAAAAGAAATGAGTTTTCACACTTGACTGGTTGTAGGGAGCCTACAGCCAGACCCCACTTTGGGGGGTTGCCACATTCCTGGAGCTCTAGTATCAATGCCAGGGTCAGCTGTGGGCTGGGCGACATAGTCAGTGCCTGCATAGGACAGAAGCCCAGAGGCTGCAGCTCACAGAGCTCTGCAGGCATTTTGCTTAGCCTAGCCAGACCAGGGGAACAGCAAGGAATCCCTAGTAGAAACCCACCAGACTGGGATCCTGCAAAGAGGGCAACTTGCTATTTGAGATATATTTGACACCTGAGTAAAACAGCAAAGGAAAAAAAGGAGACACAAATGACTTGAGTGTTCAGGGTTGGGGGCCAAAGAGGTGGCAGCAACAGTCTCAAAAAGGAGGAAGCTGAGATGGGGACTGGCCAAGGGGAGCAGTGCTCTTGCAGTTTGGGCTCTGTGGGCTTTGTAGTGTTCTTGGCAAACCTGGCAAGCAGTGGGGAAGTCAGGATGTGGGTCTGGACCTTACCAGAGAGGTAGGACCAGGCAAGCAATCAGACCTAGGTTTTTAGTTAGAGGTTGTTGGGGACACAGAGGAAGACAGTTTCCTGGATAAAACCACTTGAAAGCAACAGGAGCAGACCCTGGTAAGGTGACCAGAGAAGTAGATAACCTCAAATACTCGGCAGTGTTCAGGAATTATCGGTCCTGGGAATTCCTCAAAGGCCACCTCCCCATCAGACTTCTCTGTGGTCTTCACCCCTCCAGGGGTGAAGTGTCTGGACCTGAATTCCAGCACCCCAGACTAGATCTGACCGGGCAGGTATCCTGGGCAGCTGCCAGGCTCACCCAGTCCTCAGCTGCCCCGCACCCCCTCAGTCTGTCTGCCCCCACGGAGTACCCAGCAACAACTGCTCTCTGCTCGCTCAGTTTAGACGCAGTCAGCGTGCCTTGCTCGGGGAATTCGGGCTGCCGGGCCCCTGGGGAGGAGCGCCCCGCGGTCGTGGAAGGACCTGGTATCCGGGACTTAAACTCCGAGTCGGAGCGCGGGAACAGGAGCGGCGCGGGCCCGCGGCCGCAGGGGGCGGCAGAGGAGCAGCGCGCGGCGCGGGGCCCGGAGGCCCGGAGGGCAGATGGCCGCTGGCGCGCGCGTTTCTCGGCCTTTCCTGTGGGGTTCACCTTTGGTGAGGAGGGCTTAGTTTGCCTGTAGGGGAACAGAGCGGTCTCGGACGGGCGCGGCAGGGACCCTCCGGGGTCTCCGTGGCCCGAGAGGGGCGGAGGGGCGAGGGCGCCACGGCGTGCCCAGCCCGCGCGGAGCTCCTCCCGCGGCTCCGGCAGCTGGCGGGTCCGCGACAACCCCCCACCTTCCCCCGCACACCCCCTCTCTGAGGAGCACAGCCCCGCAGCCCAGTGCAGACCAGATTCCGCACAGAGTGAGCCACCTCCAGACCCGGGACGCGCGGCCCAGAGCCCGCAGCCAACACCCGGCCCCAGCCCCCCAGCTCGCCCCAGCCTGCTGCTCCCCGTGGGCTCCTCCCGCGCCGCGCGCCTTCGGGCCCGCCCCGGAGCGATCCCTCCGCCCGCCCTCGGCCTCGGGGGTACCTGAGCTCGGGTCCCAGACCAGCTCCCCGGCGCCCGCGGCCGCGCGGCGACCTCAGACTCCCGGCCCCGGCGCCGACCCCACCTCCCGGCTCCCGCGGCTGCGGGGGAGGCGCCACGTCCGGCCGCCAGGGGCGCGAGCGCGGAGCGGCCCCGGGAGCCGCCCACCCCCTCACGGTGTCCACCCCTCACGGTGTCCACCCAGGACCAGGGGCGGACACTCCCCCCCGCCGGGCGCAGACGGAGTGTAAGCCCAGAAGGGCTGCCGCGGCGCGCCCCCGGCCCCCGGCCGACCGCGCCGCGCCCCCGCGCCCCTGACGCCCCGCCGGCCACCGGCGCCCGGACAACGCCCTCGGTAGGGAATCCGGGCCCGGCCCTGAGGACAGGCGGGCGCCCATTCCTTTCACCTTGGCGAAGAAAACAGCCCCTCTGGGTACGGTTCGGATGGGAACATCCCAGATTCCCCCTCCCTCCAGAACCCCGTCTCCTGAACTCGTCAGCTCCTTGACTCCCACCGGGTCTCTTTTCTCCCATTTTTGCACCCTGTCTTGTCATTTCTCCCCGTACCTGGCATAGTCTCGGTCCTCCTGGCCAGCCACATGGACCAGCGCACAGGCTGCTGCCTGTGTCTTCATTTCAGCTGCCTGGGGCTCACAGGCTGGAGTCCGGCTCTAGCCTTTGAGGATATGCATGTCTCAAAGAATGCTTTGTATTCATCAGCCACTGTGCTCTCCCCCCAGCTGTGTCGTGGGCGCCCCTACCCCCACTTTCCAAACCTCCATTTATGAATAATGGCCCTATCAGGAAATGCCCCATTCCTAGAAGGGGCAAGGAGGCCCTTGCTGAGCCCCTTCAGCTGCCTCTGCTGCTCGTGTGGTCAGGTCGCACTCTCCGACAGAATCACCATGCCAGGGAGGGGCAAACCCTGCCCCCAACTTGGCATCTTTGACTGTTGGTAATAACCTGGACTGAGAACTCAGGCTGGGGAGAGCCTGCCACTTTCTGGGGACAGTGGGAGTCCAGGAAACTGTCTGCTTGGGCTTGTAGGGGGTGGAGGCAGCAGGCACCTGAACCTTATTTCTGATGGGTGCTTTTCTGGCTCTGCTCCCTCGTCAAACACCATCCCAACCCAGACATGAGCTTTAACTGGATCTGGAGCCCATTCTACTAAGAACCTCTTGGCTTTGAGAGCCTGTCCAGTTAAGATGCTGATCCACACAACTGGTCTTGAATTACAAGAGAGGGAACACAGCCCAGCAACCAAAAAGCCAAATCAAAATTGCTCAAGTTCTTAATTTATACTTTAAACTTATATTAAAAAAAAACACTTATTGAAAGCCATCAAGTAGACATTTTTCACAGCCATTCTTATTAACCCGCTCCATCTGCCTGCCCCTTAACTACTCTTACACATGCTACAGAAACGCTATAACTCCTAGAAAGCTGAAATCCTGCCCAGACACTTCTCATCTATTCTCCTCTAAGAAAAGCAGCCACTGACATCTGGAGTCCTTGGTGTCGCTGGAACGTGACCCAACATTCGAAGGTAGGTTCCTGATGTCCTCCTATTGCACATAAGCCATTTCAGAGGATAACCTCAGACAGCCGCTCTTTAATTATGACAAAACGAGATCACTGTGTGATCATATCTGAACACAAACATTGTCTAAGTCATAAAAATGACCAAACAACTTTCAGTCTTGGCTAAAATAGTGACTTCTGTCCTTACCAATTGTAGCTTTAGTTTCCTTCTAGTCACTCTTTCTAGACAAGCTTTATTAATATACTGAATCATAGAATTACTCTTGCTTCCCAACAGCATCCAACACATAGAAAAGTCCTGCTTCATTAACTCTCTCAAAGTCATTAACACAAACTTAAATCCTCTTAAGTCCTTTCTAGCATCCTTTCCCCATATCCTATCGTTCCCCCCACAATGTGTTCCTCCTCACTGCAACAGGCAATAAATCCAATTTATTCCATGACAGGTATGTTTCTGGTGGTCCTTCATTGGAGGGCACTGACATTTTATATCTCTTTATTGCAAAAACCCAAAGAATCTTGGAGGGGAGCAAGAGGAAACTGCTGCAGAGCTGGAGTCTCCTTTAGTGGTGGTGGTTGGGGATGGGACAGGTGTGGGGAGGACGAAGACATACACATATTTATCTTTCATTTTTCTACAGCACAAAGAGATGCCTGTGCCCCTCAGTATCTCAATACCAGGAATGGGGGAGTCCATATAAAGACCCCCTAGGTGACCCAGCTTAGCCAGGGTGAGAGTCACAGACCATGTTATCCCAAGGAGCTGGTGGGTGGGGAGGTGGTGGGCCTCCCTCCCATGTGGTTTGACACTTGTAATCACACTTAAGTCACTACACCACAGCAACTGCCCAACTCACAGGGTGAGTGATGGGACAGTGATTTGAATACAAAGACCATGTCTTTGGTGCCAGGACCCGTGCTAAGTACAATCTGTTATTCTTGGGAAGTAGGCATCATTATAACCCCATTTTTTCAAATGAGAACACTGAGTTTCTCCGAGGATAAATAACTTGACAAGTAGCTCATAAGCAGTAGAAGCAAAACTCAATCCCATTATGTTTGGCTCCAGAGATTGTTTTCACAAGGTCAGTGAAAGGAAGTTCAATTTCTGCACTGGCAATAGGCAGTTCTCCTGCCTTCCTGTGACTCTGCAGTCACTTTTATTTTTATTTATTTTTTTCACAAAACTTCCCTCTGCAGACCAGCAGCAGCTGCTCTCTGCCCACCTGTGACTACGCAGGTGTCTTTTCGTTCTCCTTTTCCTAATACACCTGTCCTTTTGAAATATAAAAAATAAAGAATTAAAAAAACAAGACAAGTGAAAGGAACCACAAGATGTGGATGTCCATGCAGGACTTAGATTACAGCTTGAACAGGACTAGAAAGTGAATGGGAAAGATGATTAGCAGCGCAACCTCAATCACGACTCCTCTCTTCGTGTTTTCTGACATGTACCTGGCTATTAAGCTTCATATGTTTTTTCCTGGGTTTTATTATAAAGGTACAGGACTTGTAGGAATACTGCTTTCTATAACTTCCTTTCAAGGTTCTGTGCTTTTTTTTTTTTTTACTCGAAGATTTACCTTAGACTCATCTGACACCAGTACATAAAGCTGCACTGTTCTTTTTAACAGGTGCATGGTTATCCATTGCATGATCATAAGTAAATTGGGTTATATAATCAATCTTTTATTGGTAGACATTTGGGTTATCCAGATTTTTGTTATTGTTAAAATTGTAATAAATAATCTTGTATTAATGTATCTTTGTTCACATTCCTAAGTCTAATTTTAGGATAAATTCCTAAAAGATGAATTGGATGTGGATCCTCCAGTGTCAACCACCCCAGGTGACACCATACGAATCAAAGAATTTTCTAGTTTAGTCCTTCCTCAATTTTTGACACTGAAAATCACGAGCAAGATAATTATCAGTACGTAAGTCACTAGGTTTTGGGTTAAGTCTGAAAGGTTTAAAAAGTTTTCAGTTTAAGTTTTATACTTCCTTTTTGTAAAGGAAATTGCATATACTTTGTGCATTTAAAAGCCGTTTGTACTAACTTCTGTGATCTGTCCATTTCCTTTGCCATTTTTCTATTGGATTATTGGTCAATTTATTATTGATTTTTAAGATCTCTTTATACACAAGGTAGTTAGCATTTTTACTCCATGTGTGGCAAATATGTTCCCAAGTTTGTATCTTTTGACTTTGTGGTAGCAGTGAATCTATAATCCACAGTTGAAGCAAAATATGTTTCTTTTAAATAGCAACTACATAGCTGTATTAATATTTCAGAAATTGTCATGTATTAGGAGAGTACATTAAAGAAATGTACAGAAATCTTTCAGCAAAATCATGTCTGTTTTTCAAAATCCAACAAAGCATGAATCATCACTTTTATATAAATGACTATTTATGTAAAAATCCCTTCGGGGCAAATTCATTTGCTCTGAATTCACCACATTTTCCCAAAGATAGAGCTTTATGGGAAGGCAGTCACAAGAAGAAAATGCAAAAAGAATGGAACTCATTCTCTCCTGTAGAAGCCCCTGATAGGCAAGGCCTCTAGGTAAGGCTGGTTAGGGACAGGTTGTTTCAGGGATTAGACCAAAGTTCCCTTTCAGATCACCAGTTCCTGGGAGAGAATGCTGGGCTGTCACATTCCTGCTGAGCACACATATGTCACCTTTTCCCTACAGAAACTGGGTAACACTCCCCCCTCCCACACACACACCTTCAGCTTCTATTTGCTTTAGTCATAACAACTCAGCTTTTCTCCTCTAGCCAGACTCTGAGTCCCAGGCCTGGGGCCATTCCACCTTCCACTCAAATATGACCCCCACATCTGTGGACAAAAGAGGATGAATGAGATAGATGGATACAGGCCTCTCACCTCTTCTGCCTACTCCAGAGGCTCCAGGACAGTTAGGTGGTGGGCACATGAGCTTTTCTACTTTGCTTTTCTGGTCTTCTGGGATCCACGTAAAAAATGTCCCCTAAGCTTCATTTTGATTCTCAAGAATAGAAACTAAGGCTATGAACTAAACCCAACTGCAAAAATATTCTTTGCCTAGAGAGGGGAACAGCTGGCTCAAGCCCAGGAATGCGTAGACTGCCCCTTCTAGGATCAGGCCTAATAAAAGGGATTGTTTCCAAAAGCTCCTCTTCTAAAAGTGCCCTTTTC